CGAACTCAGGTCAACCCAGGATCCAAACGCAGACCTTCCCACGTGGCTTCAGTACGGCACAGTGTCACCTGCTACTAGAACCACCACAGCTGAGCCACTCCCTGACTTTTAAATCTAGAGACAGCCGTGGACACATATTGTTGAGCGATATTAAAGTAGCGGTCAGAACAGCTAGTGGCTGCAGCTGTGAGAAGAGGGTGGCCCCAGCAGGAGGACCTGGGCACGGTTTCTATTGCTTCTTGTTATGCATGCTTCTGCAGAATTGTATTTATTTATTTTACCCTGCACTCATTTGGAATTTTTTTTTTCCCCAGAAAGTCTGACTTGAAGCCCTTTCTAGTGGCTAGAAGTCCACCTGTATAAGAACTCAAGAAGCCGGCTAGTGGCATAGTGGCTTAGGCGACTACATTTCCCATGGCCTGCTGCATGGTTCAAGTCCAAAATCCGGCAGTTTGAGAAACATGCCAGGCATGTGTGTGTGTGCCCAAAATCCCTAAAGGAGGGATATAGAGGAGACGATGGATAGAGATTGTGGCATCTCTCATGGAGGCCGCTTTCTTTCTCTCTCTCTGGTGAGTGCATGCACTCTAGCAAATTTTTAAAAAGAGAGCCTCTCCCATAGCTACTCGTTCTAGAGGTTCTGTGTTTGACTCGCCTTTGAGCTGGTAAGGAAATGGAGGTAGCCCACTGCCATGCAGCCAAGCCCCAGGTCCCCTGCTCCCAGTTCCATGCTTTCTCTTGTTCCACAGCTCTGCCCTCTTCCCTCTCGACAAACCGACAAACCGGTATCTGTGTAGGTTTTGCAGCTTGTGGAGGACTCCCCCAGAGCGGGGCAGAGAAGTTATCAGTCCTTACAGGTTTGGAAATGGAGGCTCACGTGAAGGTGTCCCAAATGTGGGTCTGCAAACGTGGGCTCTTCCTGCCACCTCTCGCCTTCCCCAGTGGCAAGGCCAGTGGCAGCTAGAGGCCCTGGGAAGCAAGGGGGCAGTGGTGATCTGGGGCTCCCTGCACTGCTAGGGAGGCAGTGGTATCAGAGCAGCTTTGTCCCTCCCTCCCTGCCTTCCGGCACCCTGTGGGCACCGTCTAACCTTGGGATTCTTCTGTAAGGGGATCCATCCTGACATGAGTCACCCAGAGGGCTCAGGGGTGGGCAGAGCACGGACAAAGCCACCCAGAGGCGATCTGGAGGAGCTGGAGAGGAAAAGGAAGATGACTTGGCGGCTCAGAGTCTGGGAATCTGGCCCGGGTCTGCCAGTCTCTTCCTGAGGTGCTGGGCAGAATGCCGCCTACCCCACCTTCCCTCAGCCTAGGCACCAAGGCCTGTGAACCAAGCCAAACAGCCTTGACCTGAGTTACAACGACAGGCCTGGGGAGCCTCCCAGATCTTCGCACCGCAGAAGGTCATAAAAGGCTGGGAAGGACCTTCGGGGATATCTGGCTAGCACCTCAGTGGACAGAGAAGGTGTGGAATCCAGGCCCCGTGACCCAAGGTTTCTGCTGTTTTCAGGACATGGTGCTTTCTTCAGCCCTGAGCTGGTTTACCTAGTGAGGTCACTTCTCCCTCTTCCTCCAGGCAAAACCTAGCCTCCATTCAGCCCACAAAACTGAGAATCTTTCTTAGGCATTAAAGAGATGAATATAAGGAACTTACAGGTCTCTACCCCACTTTCCTGCTAAAGGAGACCCACAGTTTTTGCTCTTCTGTGGATATTCTGTCTTGATGTCTCTTACTTTTGAGAAATCCCTTGATGGTTTAATCTAAGTCTCCCTCTCTGCCGCTTAAGTGGAGCAAAGCCCAGCTCACTCCCTGCTCCCTGCTCTTTTTCCTCCCTTCTCACCTGGTGCAGAACTCGCTCTATTCTTTGCGGAACCCAGTGCAAGATGAAAATGCTGCGCCATTTGCTCCTGTGTCATTGAGTATTGGGAAGGATTTCAAGACGGGTACAGCAGAGCGTTACTCAAGCGTGGGTCACTGTGCCTCTGCACAGGTCACACACACATGAAGCCAGCCCTGCCCTGGTGTCAGGAGCGATGTTTGGTTGGTCCCGTAGCACAGCGGTTAGTACTGCTCAGAGAAAGCTGGATCCCACATGGCACATCAGCATTCAAGTCCTGGCTGTGATGGCTTCAAAAAGACACCATGTGCACACAAGTGTGCCAAGAATCCTGACAGGGTGGAGAACTGGAGGAAAAAGGATTGTGGTATGACCAGGACTCTTTCTCTTTCTTGTGTGTGTGTGTGTGCATATGCCCTCTGGCATTAAAAAAGAAGAAGATGAAGAAAAAGAAAAAGAAAAAAAAAAAACCCTGATGCTTGAATTTTATACAAATAGTCCGTCCTGGAAGGTCAAGGTGTCCATTCTCCTGCCTTTATGCCGGACTCCATGCTCCGGCCTTCCATCAGTGAGAATGTCCCCCATACACTCCTCCTGGGATCTCACCAAGCTCTCTCAGCTTCACTTCATCCACTGCTGGAAAATCCTTCTGAATATCTAGATCTAAATCTGAGTCCTTTGGGCCTGTTTCCTCTTGTTCTGTCCTCGCTGACTATGAGGAACAGCTGGTCCCTCTGAGTAATTATTTCTTGTAGGCTTGGACACAGGCCGTAATTCCTTTTCCCTTTCCTCATTGGGCTTTCTCCAACTCTGTGTCCCTCCTCTGATACCTCCCCCAGGCTCTCTGTGTGCTTTGGAGAGTAGGGGGTTCACAAGAGCCACAAAGAGTGTTTCTCAGGGTCCAGAAGGCTTGGTGCTTTGGGGAGCCGGGGGAGACTCCAGCACTGATAAACAGCCCCACCCCCACCAAGCCCTCTCTTCCTCCTCCTGAAACTTACTCTATTTTTGTCTGTTTCATGAACTCTGCCCAGGGAAAGACTCCCATCCCACAACTCCCATCAGCCGCTCTCAGCCCATGTCCATCTCCGTGGTGTTTCTGTTGTCAGTGTGTCTCGGATGGAATGCTCCCCTTGAGGAAGCCCCCACCTTCCACCTCTAGAACAGAGTCCATGGGGTGGGGGGAGAGGAAGCTGACCAGAAGCCTTAGCAGGGCAGGGGGGCAGAGAGTGAGTTTGAAAGATGACTGCGTGGCCATGCTCCCGGCTCTCCAGCTGCTAGTGTGCCAAAGTGGCTGCTATCATCTGACAGCAGACCCCCAAATCCCATAGGACTTCCTCTTGGCTGGCTGCAGGACGTAGTTCTGTCCTGACACTGCAATTTGGGTGTGCCAGCATTCTAGGAATTCATGATGCTCACCATAGGTTGTGGGGCAGCAGAGGAAGTGAGGTCAGTCAACAACCGATGCCTATCTGAGCCATTGTCTTCCTCCCCAGGCCTGTCAAAGGGTGAGTCCCTGTCCCATCTTGTACAATAGCCACATTGCAGCAGGCTTCTCAGAGATCTGCTCCTGCCCCAATGTGCTGCTGCCCCATCTCTCCACTTGGCTCTGAGGCCGCTCTATCCAGCCTTTCATTTATTCATTTAATTAACAAAGTTCTTCATTGAGGTCCTATCCTTTGCCAGCTCAGTCAGCCAGCATCTCCGAGAGCTGAGATAACCATCCTTTTCTTTCTTTCTCACAATCACTCAACAAGACTGGCACTGTTTAACTTTATTATAGTTTATTTATTCCATAAATAAATAAAAGAGAGAGAGAGACAGACACAGCATCCCCAACAGGGTCTTCTACCCCCAGATGCCCAGCTGGGATCGTGGGCACATGTATGCCAGGAGTACTCAGGGAGGTCTCTGGACACACAGATGAAGCTTCCCCTGTGGGACCCGGTACTGCAGCCACCGTACTGCAGCCACCCCCGGCCGGGAGCTGTTTATCACGTGCATTAGCAGGTGGGAGCTGGAGCAGGCTGAGCCATCACTTGCCCAAGGTAACACAGCGGCCTGGATTCCTCGCAGGGTGTCTGACTTGTGGATAATCAGAAGTTAGGGATAAAACGCGAGTCCTGCCTGCCGGTCTCACAGTGGTTGGAGAAAGCACAGACCCTGGGCCAGTACTCCTGGCCTGTGCTGGGACATCAGGAGGAAGGGTTGTTCCCGGAGATGAAGCCACTCTGCCACTCTGCCCCCTCTCAACTGCCTCAGCAGGGCAGGATTGGGGGTAATTCTGGAAGAGGAAAGTCCAAGGCAGCTCCCAGCTGCTCCCTCCATTCTCCAGGAGGGTTGACCCAGGGCCGTCCCCTCTGGGCCTGTCTGTCCTCGTGCTGAGCGCGATTGCGGGAAGCTCCGCAAGAGAGGGGTTGGGACAGGGGGAGGGGATGAAGGGGCCCGAGGGAGGACTGGGGAACCAGTGGAGTCCCCGAGGGCGGAGCCAAATTTGTCTGGGCTCTGCCAAACTCCAAACTATCCATGCTGCTCGGAGCCTTCTAGACCGAGGACCCCGGGTAGAAGGTGGGCCAAGGGTAACTTTTCTCTCGGCCTCCCCTCCGTGGGTCCTTTCCTCGGGGTCCCCTTTCCTGAGGCCTGGATTCCAGCTTGCCCCGCAGCTACTATCCCGGATCTGGCCTCCACGGATCTGGGCCGGGACCCCACGGGACCCCCCTCACCCCGGTGGCCCGAGTCCAAGGCCCGCCCCCATGGGGAGGCGGACAAGGGAGGCTCGGTCTCGCACCAGCCAGCTATCCAGCAGCTGGGGGCGGTTGGGGGAGGTGGTTGAGAGGGGGCGGCAGCCAGGGGGATCTGGGAGCGGCGCTGGGTGGGACCGGGTCCTGCAGCCCCAGCGAGTAGCGAGCCGGCGGCCGGTCGGCGAGCTGGGCAATAGGAAACGGTTATTAGGAGGGAGTGGTGGAGCCGGGCCAGGCAGGAAGACGCTGGAATAAGAAACATTTTTGCTCCAGCCCCCTTCCCAGTCCCGGGAGGCCGCCGCTGCCGCGCGGTGCGAGCCCCTCCCCGGCCCCAGCCCCTACCCCGTGGCGCCGACCTGGGCTCGCAGTCCAGCGCGTCTTGAGACAGAGGCCGCTGCCACGGAGGGGAGGGGGCGCAGCCAGCTGGACGTTCGTGTCGTGTCGGGTAGCCCCCGGGACGGTGGAGAGGTGAGTCGAGCGAGGCCAGCGGGACCGGGTAGGGGGAGGCCTGAACACGATCCCAAAGAGCCCTCGGAGAGGTCGCAGTGGGTTCCATCCCAGCGCGGGAGTGCCAGCCCCCTCGCTGTCGGTGCGGCGTCTACCTTACCCGACCTGGGCCTGGGAGGGGCTGGGCGGAACTGCACGGCGAGTCAGGGAACTTGGCTCCAGATGAGCCACCTGGGGTCAGTCTCTTAACCTCTCTGTTCTCTTATATTCACCCATAAAATGAGCAGAAGGGTTGTTGTCTTGCTTTACTCACAGAGAAGGGGTCACATGTACCTCCAGGCCATGGGTTTGACCTGGGAGTGAGTGTCGGCTTCCAGCTGCTGTGGAGCCTCCCCTTGGAGCCCAGCGTACCCAGCCCAGACCTTGCAGCTTTTGCTTAGGGGATTCCACACTAATTCCAGACCCCAAAACCCCGCACTCTGCGTGGTTGGGTGATCCCATTCCATGATCCTCCTTCTGGATCCAGGTCAAAGGTGAATCCAGCCTCCCTCCAGGCTTGGGACCCCAGATTCCAGGCTGCCCTGGAGGCCCACACTGTGAGGCCGGCCTATGGCTGGGTGCTCCTTTTTCTCCAAGGACAGTAGCATAAGGGTCAGTAGCTCTCACCCTTAATTGAGGGGCAGCCTCTGGCTGAGTCAGTCTGCCCTCCCTGATTTCTCACTGCCCATTTGTCCTAGTACCTGCTCCATCTCACTGAGTTGTTAAAAATGCTACCATTTATTGAGTACTACTGTGTACACAATTTTTCACCCGGTCTTCCTTTGCATGTAATCCTGGTCATACCTAGCCAAAGAGGGGGCATTATATTTCCGACAGAAGGGAAAGCAGATTCCGACTTGAGTAACTTGTCCAGTGCTCCTTGGATGGCATAAATGGCATGGTGGGGTTCCCATTTATTAAGTGCTTACTGTGTACTACTTAGTACTCTGCTCAGCAATTTTAGTACTTACACCTATGACATAAGCACTTTTTTTTTTTTTTTTGGAGAGATTTTTGCTATAGGGCATGTACGCTCACCAGAAAGAGAGAGAGACAGAGAGACAGAGATCGAGAAATCACTGCCCAGGGGGGATGGCCACGCCGCAATCCCTTCTTCTCCATTCTTCTCTTGGGATCTTGGGCACGCACGCACACGCACCCAGTGTGAGTTTAAGACATGGGGTCCGGGATTCGAACCGCAGTTGACTACATGGGAGTCCAGTGACATAGCCATTATGCCAACTGCTGGTCCTGTTTTTTGTTTGTTTGTTTATTTGGACATTAGCACTGTTATTGTTCCCATTTTACATATGAGGGGAAGCCTCAGCCTCAGAAAACCTAAGTATTTTGCTACAAATCTCGTAACTCTAAGTGGCAGAGGCAGGATTGGAACCCAGATCTACGTGATCCAAGCCCACACCTGACCTTTGCTATCATGCGCTGCCTCTACGGGCTGCCTGAGACTAAACCCAGGTTTGTTCTGCTGCGTCACACTGCTGTGAGGGGCCACTGAAATGATGGGGTGAGTCGTAAGAGGAACGGGAGGTGAGCAGTTCAGTCAGTCTTCTGCTGTTTGGGTGAGACTGACTGAAGTGCAGAGAGCGAGGCAAGGTGGCCGCGTTCGAGGCAGACCTTCTCCAGCCCTGGGACAGTCACTGCCAGCTGAGCCGCTGCTGCTGATGGCCATGAGTTTCATCAGACCCTCACATGTGCTGGGAGGAAAAGATTGACAACCACCTTCCCTGCACGCCACTACTCACCACTCCCCGCCTGAGGCTCAGACTTGGACTAAGCCTGTAGTCAGCATGATTTCTGGGGAGCTGTGCTGTCTTTGCATCTAGACAGACCTGGGCAGGGTAATCTGTGACGACAGGGACAGTAGACATTTTGTTAGTGTCTGCCGAGACCCATGTGATCTTTTTCCTCCTTTGAGGGACCCACCTAACTCCAAACAATTGGAGGTCTCACAATGACCATGGAAGGATTTCTTTTTCTTTGAAGAGGTTTTTGCTATAGGGCGTGTGTGCTTGCCAGAAAGACAGAGAGAGACAGAGAGACAGAAAGCGATGAATCACCCCCCAGGGAGGATGGCCACGCTGCAATCCCTTCTCCTCCATTCTCCTCTCGGGATCTTGGGCACGCACGCACACGTGCCCGGCGTGAGTTTAAGCCACCGGGTCCAGTACTCGAACTGCAATTGACTGCATGGGAGTCCAGTGACATAGCCATTACACTAACTGCTGGTCCCAGAAGGATTTCTTATCAGCAGTTTTAATTTATTGAGACACTTTGGGTGACTGTGGGCCATCCCTGAACCTTGGCTTTCCCATCAGATTGTTGTGAGGATTAAATGAGGTAAACCATTGCAGTTCAGTACTTGGCACATGACCAGAGAAGAAGGTTAATGATTATTATTAAGTATTTCCATTTGTGATTTCTGGCCAACAATAGTGATTCTTCTACCAGCAGGAGATCTTTCATGAAGTTTTGCTAGAAGGGAAAGGATACCACCAGACCCCAGGAGCCTGTTTGTGCTGTAGTCGGATTTCAGGGCGAATCGTGCAGGGTCAGCCCAGAGTACAGTTCAGGACTCAGCACCCTCCTGAACTTCACCTTATACTAGGCCTGGTTAAAACTGGCAGTCCCAATTTTATGCCATCACATTCTTGGTATCGGCCCAGAAATGGGTTCTTCAAGTCCACCAAGCCCTTCTGTGCACCATAGGTGTCTAGAAGAAAGCCCTTGTCCACGCCCTCACTCTACAGTGTCAGCAGGTCTCTAGCTTCTGTGTTCGGCCTTGGCTGCCCCTTCACCCCAGGAGCGGCGGCGAGGTCCCTGGGTGGGAGTGAGATTCTCTGCAACCGTGTCTTGCTCGCCCAGGAGTATCCTGCAGTGAGATGAAAGCACAGGAGCCAGTCTTCAACTTGTGTGGGCCACATTTGTCAAAGTGTGGTGCCCACCTAGACCCGTCAGCAATCCCTGGGGACGTCATTGAAAGGCACATTTCTTGCTGGTCCCAGAGGGGCTGAATCAAAATCTGGAGTGGGAATAGGACCAGAGAGTGCATTTCTAAAGAAGCATTTCAGGTGATTGGAGATGAAAGGGTGACCTGGAAGATGGGCAGAGAGGAGGCAGCCTGGGTAGACCATCCGAGAAGGATGCTAGCTCTTACCCTTACTCTTAGCCCCTTTTCCCTTCCTGTCTCATACCCTCTCCCTAGCTACTCTCTGGGCACACCAAGGCAGCCAAGGCTGGCTTCCTGCCCATACCTGAGTGGGCAGGTCCAGCTCCCCTGGGGCTCTGTCTCCATCCAGCCGCACGGCAGGTCTCACCACAGAATGCTCTCCTGAGTCCCTACTGCCAGGAGGGGCAAGAGGCAGGAGGTCAGGCAGAGGTTGGGGACACAGCTGCAGCAGCCCAGGGCTGTTTCCTCCCCCAGCCCGGGCCTCTGGGGCAGAGGAAGCCCAGGCAGGAAGGCCAGAGCTGCTACCAGCCAGAGAGGCCTGTAAAACCCCCCGCCACCATCAGCCATCCTGCCCCCAGAGCCTCAGCATCTTGGGTCAGCATTTGACACCATTCTTAGACCGTGGACCCTCTATAACCAATGTCCGGCTCCACTATCGTCACCATGTGATGCCAAAGGACTCCCGTCTTTGCCTCATGAAGCTGCAGTTCCAGACACACACCTGCGTGCTCTCCACCATTCGGAAAGTTCTCGTTGCTGTCCGGCCACACTCCTTTTTCCTGTAGCCCCAGCCTGTATATTCTGGTTTTAACCTTTAAGAAATGAAGAGTAGGGTGGCTTCTGAAGCAGCTTCTAAAGCTCTAGCTGGTTAGGACCTGGACTGGGGACCACCGTAGACTAGAATTACTCCCCTTAACACTCCGCCAAGATTCTGGAGGAGTTCAACTCCAGCCAGCCGCAGAAGGTGGAATGTTCTGTGTTTAAGTGTTTCACTTCCCCTCCCACATCACTGGCCCTCCCTCCACCCTTTCCCAGGACAGCACGGAGAGAAGGGGGCAGGGAGTGGCTCAGAGAGGGCCTCTCCTGCTTCGAGGAGGTTGCAGAGAGGATCTTGTCCACCTGGTGTGGCCCAGCATGGTCTAGGCTTTGCACAGTTGTCACGAGTCTGGGGGCTCAGACATGGGCAGCTGCTACCGGACCAGGATACTGGGTGAAATGAGCGCTGGACTGGGAGTTTGGACACCTGGGTCTACTCCTGCTACCGCCACTGAGCCCTGTGAGACTCTAGGCAAGGCTCCTCCCCTACATGAGCCTGATCTCCTCTTCTCCTCAGTGTGAGGCAGCCCTAGGTGGCTCCTGTGCACACCGTAGCCACTCCAGCCTGCCTGAAAATATGCCCTTAATCCCCTGCTGTGCGTGACGCCTGCCTGTTCTATCCAGACCCCAATCTAAACAATCTTGATTCCTGTTCCCGGCTTGGCGAGACCCTGAATGGCAGGAAGTGAAGACAGGAGCCTGTTTATGTTTGAGGCAGCCAGGCTAGGGCCTGGTGGTGGGGGGGGAGCACTGGGAAAGGGGTGGGCAGGGGTGGAGGCAGGGAGGAGTTGAGCAAAAGGCAGAGGACAGAAGGGCGGTGGGAGTTTGCTGAAGAGATGCTTCCACTCCACCCTGTGCCCTCCAGCCTGAGTCCAGCAGCAGGGGTGTCGAGCTGGGTCCCCCAGGCTCTCAGTTACTTCAACATGGTGCTCCACCCTTCACCCCTAACAGGATGGTTTCCATGGGGAAGTGAACCAGGACTTCCCCTGCAGGCCCCGCCCCAAAGCCAGACACAGGGAGTGGGCAGGCGGCCTCCCTGCCTCCCCCCAAAAAACTCCAGTGATTTCCTCCGGGTAAGAGGGAGCTGTGGTCAGTGGCTGTCACATTTCACTGCCCCTCCTCTCCTGCTTCTCTGTCCAGGAACCATGACCTTGGGCCCTCCCAGGAGGGACCTTCTGATGCTGCTGATGGCCTTGGGCCTGACCCAGGGTGAGTACGGGGGGAGCAGTTAGGGAACAGAGGCCTGGGTGGAGAGAGGGTGTCTGGGCTCAGCTCAGCTCTTGCTGGGACTGAATTTGATGGGCTAGGAGGAGGCGGACGGGAGAGATTGGTGGGAGGGTGGGGGCAGGAAGGCTCTCTGCTCCTGCAGTCCTCCTGTGCCATCCTCTTGATTCGAAGCTGCAGACCAGTGCTCTGCCAGACTCCCGGGTGGAAGCCTATTTGTGGGTGGCGGGAGGAGGAGTGTTGGCAGAGGAGACTGCGGCAGCCTCAGGGCCAGGGCCAGGGCAGGGCTTGGACCTGGGAGAGGTCAAAGGATCAGTAGGATCCAGAGAACATACAGCCTGGTAAGGCTCTGGAGGAAGGAGATCTGAAGATGAAGAAGGACACTAAGGTGGGGGTGGGGAGGCCGAGAGGTGAAAAGGAAGGGGACAGAACTGGATGTTGGGTGCAGCGTCGGGGAGCTGGGCCCAGAGTAGCTGAGGTTCAGGCATGTCTCACAGGCAACCCTATGAAGCCCTCTCGGGAACCACTGGTGACCTGCACGTGCCAACACCCACACTGCAGGGGGCTTACCTGCCGAGGTGCCTGGTGCATGGTAGTGCTGGTGCGGGAGCAGGGCAACCCCCCGCAGGAGCACCGGCTCTGTGAGAGTCAGCACCCAGAGCTCTGCCGGGCACGCCCCACCGAGTTCGCCAACCACTACTGCTGCTACAGCCCCCTCTGCAACCAAAATGTGTCCCTGGTGCTGGAGGGTAGGTCCGGCAGCCCCCACAACCCTCCCCATCTGCTCAGACCTGCCCTCCCCGCTCTGCCTTCCTCTTGTGCTCTGGCCAATAAGCGGGGGGTCGGGACTTGGGATCTGACTAGCACAGTGGCCTGCCCTCCCTACCCTGCTTTTCTCTCATGCTCTGGCCAAAGGGAAGAGGGGGGCGCTGGCCTGGCAGAGCTGAACCTCGGTATCCTCTTTCCTAGCCACCCAAACACCTTCGGAGCAACCGCGACTAGACGGCCAGCTGCCTCTGATCCTGGGCCCCGTGCTAGCCTTGCTGGTCCTGGTGGCCCTGGGTGCCCTGGGCCTGTGGCATGTCCGGCGGAGGCAGGAGAAGCAGCAGGGCCTGCACAGCGAGCTGGGGGAGTCCAGCCTCATCCTGAAGGCATCTGAGCAAGGGGAGAGCATACTAGGGGTATGGGCCTGGGGGAACCTGGGGCACAGGGTGGAGGGTGGGTAGACAGGAGTCACAGAATCAGAGGGGGTTGCTCAGAGCTTAGAGCTGGCAAGCACGCAGTGACATGGCGGCAGCAGGACCCGGGGTCAGGGAGAGAAGGGGGCTGCGGCTGGCGAGGACAGTCTTGCAGTGGCCTCTTGGTACCCTCAGGACCTTCTGGACAGTGACTGCACCACAGGCAGTGGTTCAGGGCTCCCCTTCCTGGTGCAGCGGACAGTGGCACGGCAGGTGGCCCTGGTGGAGTGTGTGGGTGAGCAATGGGTGAGCCTGGGGGAGTGGGGGTGGAGGAGCTCTGGCTTTTGGAGTCATAGGCAGAGCCAGGCCTGGTCTGAATGGGCATTCCACCCAGTAGAAAGCAGATTGGAGACAGGCCAGGGCTAGGACCTTTGCAGGAGCTGGGGTGGAAGAAGGCAGCCAGGGGTGGTCTGTAGCTGGATCTGAGTCTGGATTAAGTTAAATGTAAGCATCAGAAATCCTGCAGGAGGCTCAGTGCAGCATCAAGGCAGGGGCTCTTCGTAGGCTCCTTGTGCCCAGCGTGTGACCCTTGCCCTCCCTCTGGCTCTTGGATTAGGAAAGGGCCGCTATGGTGAGGTATGGCGAGGATTATGGCATGGCGAGAGTGTGGCCGTCAAGATCTTCTCTTCAAGGGATGAACAGTCCTGGTTCCGGGAGACTGAGATCTACAACACGGTGTTGCTCAGACACGACAACATCCTAGGCAAGGACAAGGGTCGGGGGGCTCTGCCAGGCCTGGGGCTCTTGTCGTCCTGCAGTCGGGGCTGCAGTTCCCAGATCTCAAGACATTGACCTAACCCTGGACTCCCAGTGCCCCCTCAGCTCAACCTCTGACTCCAGCTCCTTTTTGCCCCAAGCCAGATCCATCTCCACCCCAGCCCCAGCTTTGCCCTGACCTGCCCCAACCTGTCCCTAGCCAGTCCACCCCCCATCATCTGCAGCCCCTTGGCTGAGTCACCCAGAGCCTTCTGTACACAGGCTTCATCGCCTCGGACATGACTTCCCGCAACTCGAGCACACAGCTGTGGCTCATCACGCACTACCACGAGCACGGCTCGCTCTACGACTTTCTGCAGAGGCAGACGCTGGAGCCCCAGCTGGCACTGAGGTTGGCTATGTCCGCAGCCTGTGGCCTGGCCCACTTGCATGTGGAGATCTTTGGCACACAGGGCAAGCCAGCCATTGCCCACCGCGACCTCAAGAGCCGCAACGTACTGGTCAAGAGCAACCTGCAATGTTGCATCGCAGACCTGGGTGAGCAGGGAGGGGCAGGCGTGGGCCTTCACAAGTGAGCAGAGGTTCACGCTTCCTCTCCTTCCCCTGTTTCGATGGACCCTGAATGGAGACTGGCACTTTGAATTGTAGAGGTAGGGCCAGCAGATTGTGTGGAGGTTAAGGCGGCTGGATCCCATATGGCTAACGGCACAGTTCGAGTCCCAGACCTGGTGGTTTAAAAACCATACTGGGCAAGTGTGCATGCCTACCTAAAATCTTAAGAAGAGAATGAAGGAGAAGGCATTGCTCTGTGGCCATCCCTCCAGGGGGTGCTTTCTAATCCCCAATCTCCGTCTCCAGCAACCACACCACCCATAGCAATAATAATAATAATACAAGTAGAGATGCGTGCTGTCCCAGTTCACCGCCACAAGAGCCACACACACTAACACCTTTTCCAAATCCAGGCTCCTCCCTCCCCACCATCCTGGCTTCCTCCTGGCTCCTGGAGTTGGGAGAAAAGAGGCAGGGAGCCAGGAATCTGGGTCCTTACCCTGGCTTCATGACTGCATCTCTCCCTGTCATGGGTCTTGGAGTTCTGCTCTGTGAAATGGGCACAATGCCTCCCTTGCCAGCTCACATCTCACTGGGTTCTTGGGAACTTAGCAAGAGCTGCAGAAGCAAAGGGTAGCTGGGACGGTTGTCCTCCCGTGGGCACTGTCTTTCAGTCCCTCTCAAGCAGGTCTCCATCTGCCCTTCTCCATCCCACCTTGCCTGTGCCTGGGGGCTGCCGAGGCTGGGTTTGGGTGAGGGGCAGGAGTGACTGTCCTCATCCCCACAGGCCTGGCTGTGATGCACTCCCAGGGTAGCGATTACCTGGACATCGGCAACAACCCGAGAGTGGGCACCAAGCGGTACATGGCCCCCGAAGTGCTGGACGAGCAGATCCGCACGGATTGCTTTGAGTCCTACAAGTGGACTGACATCTGGGCCTTTGGCTTGGTGCTGTGGGAGATTGCGCGCCGGACCATTGTCAATGGTGAGGGGCCGGCCCCACCGGGGTGGGAAGGGGAATGGGGCAGATGGAAAGGGGGCTTCCTGCCATGCCGTGTCTCCTGGTGTCCCTTCATTGCCACTCACCACTGGTACAGCTGAGTGACGTTTTAAGGTTCATCTGTGTTCATGATTCCGGCTGTGAAATCTTGGGTAAGTGCTAATAACAGAAATATCCACAGTGGCTAGTATTTCTGGAGCTTAAAAGTGTGCCAGAGCCATGCTTTACACTGCGTGTACGATCTCACTGACTCCTGCGTTGGCAGGGCGGTGGTGTTGCTTAGCAAGTGGGAGCACAGGCTTAGAGTCAGGCTGCTGGGGTTCAGCTCTTGATTTGCTGTGACCTGGGGTAAGTTATTTAACCTCTCTGTGCCTCAGTTTCCTCATTTGTAAAATGAGAATAAAAATAGCTTCTAGTCGCTGAGCTAAGCCAAGTACAGTACTGAGAACAACATCCAGTTAAATATCGTGGTCACTATTTTTTTTTGGGGGGGGGAGGTTTTCGCTATAGGGTGCGTGCACTCGCCAGACAGACAGAGAGAGACAGAGAGACAGAAAGCGAGAAATCACCCCCCAGAGGGGATGGTCACGCCACAATCCCTTCTCCTCTATTCTCCTCTTGGGATCTTGGGCACACACGCACACGCGCCCGGCGTGAGTTTTAAGCCACCGGGTCCGGGACGCGAACCGTGGTCAACTACGTGGGAGTCCAGCGACATAGCCATTATGCTAACTGCTGGTCCCCGTGGTCACTATTGTAAGAGAATGAGAGCCTTACACAGTATTACCTCCACTTTGCAGATGAGAAGGACAGCACAGAATCACAGCTGGCTAGAGGCAGAATCAGGGTCTGAAACCAGGCAGTCTGACCCTGGGACCCATGCTCCATGCTCACTTAAACCTCTCTGGTCCCTTGATTTCCATATTCACAGAAATGCAGGATAGAATAGTGTCCACACTGCCCGCTTGTGCTGCCTTAATTATTATGGTGGGCTGCCAATGGGGACTCCAGTTCGGAAGGACTGGGAGCTGGCAGAGGCCTGTTCTGAACAGCTCTGTGGTTGGTGCCCTCTCAGCCCGGGGTGGATGAAGGACAGGTGGTCATCTGGACTGGTAGGAGGACTGTCAGTCACTGTGGAGGTTGTCTGTGATGAGGGGCTACCAGGAGTCCTGATGGGTTAAGGACAATCTTCAGAATATGACTGGAGCCCTGCTCCTTGGGGACAGGGCCATCCCGTTTCCTGAGCACCTACCAGAAGCCAGCAGACTTCACTTGCCCTCAGTGGTCTTCATTAGACAGGGGTGCTGAGGTGTTCACCAGGCCCCCTGGGAAACTCTTGAGGGGCTCGGATTCCTGGGGACTCTGTGCGCGCCCAGGCTCCAGGAGGCTCTGTAGTTCCAGAGGCTGTGCACGCTCCATGGGCTCCAGGAGGCTGGGTCAGGAGAAGGCACCTGGGAGAAGCCAGGCCCCTCGGTCCAGGCTGCAGGCAGGAAAGGAAGGACTGAGAGGGAGGCTGCCTGCAGGCTCCTGGGTGGAGGGGGAAGCTCAGTCAGCCCCGCAGATTCACAGAACATTATAAACATTGTAATCTGGTGTCAGCCCCAGCACTGATTAAAGCCTCATTAAACATGCTTAGGCCTCTCCGCAGCACTGATTAGGGCGCGAGCGGCACAGGGGCTGGCCTGGAAGCCCGCCATGGTGAGAACAGCTGGCGAAGGCTCTGCTCAGGCTGTGGCCTGTAGGATGGGCCACCCCAGGCTGGGGAACAGGATGGTGCACGGGGTTGTTTGCAGCTGGACAGGCGTCAGTTTCTGCTAAGGAAGGTGCACTTGAGATAACAAAGAGTAGGGGCGTGCTGGCTGCAGGGGTCAGCAGAGGCCTGTGCCCTCCTGACAGAGTGGGTGTTATTGGAGCCTTTGTCTTAGGGAAGGTGTTTTTCTGTCCCTTCTTGTCCTTATTCCGGCCTCGTCCAGCAATCAGCTAGCTCCCCTCCCTTAAGTGGAGCTTGGAGATCCAGAGTATGGACTTCGGTGTTGGACTTTGCAGGCTTCCGCCCCAGCTCTGGTGCTTACTACCTGTTGATCTCAGGCCAGTGTCCTAAGTTCTGTGGCTTTATCACTTCTCGGTCTATAAAGTGGAGCTGCCACTGCTACCTGAGAGGGTTGTTGTGAGGATTCAATACAGAGCACTGGGGACAGTGCCTGGCACCCAGTAAGTTCTTGGTAAACATTAGGTGCTCTTCTTGGGCATCTGTGACAGTCTGGGCCCAGAAGCACCTGGACCCTGGGCAGAAGGCAGCTGTGGAAAGATGAACTTCTGGCCTAAGAATCTAGAGTTTGAGTCTTGACTCTGACATTACTAATGTAGCCTTGTGCTCGACTCCTCTGAGCGTCAGTTTCCTCATCTGTCATATGGGGATCGTATCAGCACCTCTTTCAGAGGGCTTTGGCGAGGACCAACAGGATAATGCAGCATGGTGCCTGGCACCTGGGAAATGCAGAACAAATGGCAGTAATCATTACTAGTTATATATAAACATATTTATTATAGCATGGTATCCCTCTCAGGGGTGGCATAGCCAGACAACCAGTTTCTTGGCACCGGGGACAAAGTGTGGGCAAGACTCTCTTCTGGGTGGTGTGAGATGCCCCTGGGGTCCCGAGTGATTGTCCCCTCTGCTCTCTATCTCTAGGCATTGTGGAGGAGTACAGGCCACCCTTCTATGACGTGGTGCCCAATGATCCCAGCTTTGAGGACATGAAGAAGGTGGTGTGTATTGATCAGCAGACCCCCACCATTCCTAACCGGCTGGCTGCAGACCCGGTAAGGCCTTTGCTTGGGCTGGGGTGGCATGGCGTGGTGGCTTGCAGCTGGGATTTCTGGGCCAGGAACTTGCGTCTGAGGCCTCTACTTCACATGGGATAGATTCTGGGTGTCTTGGTGGAAGGCACTTCCCTCGGTACTCCACCCACATTCCTCGCCTGTAGACCTTGTCATTCTGGGGTTTTCAGAGCCCTTCACCTTGCCTGTGAAGAGTTAGAGGCCTCTGCTGCATTTCTCCCTATGGAGTTTTTGTTTATTTGTTTGTAGTTTTTGCTATAGGGTGTGTACATTCACCAGAGAGAGATAGACGAAGAGAGAGGAGGAGAAAGTGAGAAATTACCCCCAGGAGGGATGGCAATGCTGCAATCTCTTCTCCATCCAGCTCTCAGGAGTTTTGTGCATGCATACACACAGGCCTGGTGTGACTTTTAAGCCACTGGGCCTGGGACTTGAACCACACGGTCGACCATGTAGGATCTAGCACCTTAACCTCCACACCACCTGCTAGCCCTGGAGTTCTTTTGTTTGTTTGTTTTTTTCTTAAACCATTCTACATACTTTTACAGAGACACACACAGTGTCCCGGCTCCACGAGGACAAAGAGCATGTCTTGTATGCTTACTCCTCGATCCCTGCTACCTGTCACCACATCTGGCACACAATCAGTACTCAATAAATGTTGCTGAAATGATGAAAAATGTACACATGTATGTACATACATGTACACATAGATACATGAACATTTTTGCATCATATCCATAGCCACAAAAAGCCAGCCTACACTTGTGTACACATGCATGGACTCACACTCAGGAACTAGAGGAGAGGGGGCTGGCTTCTTCTAGGATCATTGAGCTTCCTGGCATGAGTTCCTCCCTGGATACATGCACTTTAAGGGTCATGCCCATCATCCGAACATCCACTGTCCACAGGGCCCAGCCACGATGGATGGAGTGGGTGGAAACACCCCTCTGCACTGGGGTCTGAGGCTGCCCATGTGGATGCCGGGCTCCAGGCTTGCAGAGCTGTCCCTTCCTGTGGGTTTTGGAAGAGTGGGGGTTGGGGTGGTGTGTTCCCCAGACACTATTCACCAGGGGCCTGAGCGCTCCGGGAAGATCTGAGCCTTCTCCCTCCTTTCACCACCCCTTCTCACCCACTCTCTTCCTCTCCTGGTTTTTACCTTTCTCTTCTCCTCCACACCTCCTGCCATGTCTGTCCATTACTGGGTCACCCTCTTCCTCCTTCTCTGTCCCTTGCTTCCTCCCTCTGCCTTTCTCTCTGGTCCTCAGGTACTCTCAGGCCTGGCTCAGATGATGCGGGAGTGCTGGTACCCCAACCCTTCGGCCCGCCTCACCGCACTGCGGATCAAGAAGACTCTACAGAAACTCAGCAACAGTCCAGAAAAGCCCAAGTGATTCACTAGCCTAGGGGTGCCCGACCCCCTCTGTCTGTGGGAGCGAGGGGGAGCGGCAGCATCCGAGGACGGTGGCTTATGTGGGTAGAGGTAGTGTGTGTGTGTGTGTGTGTGTGTGTGTGCGCGCGCGCACGTGCAGGAGGGGGTGCCCCTTCACGGGGCAGCTGTGCCTGCCTGGCTAGGCTCGGCCCCCAGCCCATCCAGCCAAAAATACAGCTGGGCTGAAACTCGATCTCCCACCGTCTGGTCTGCTCAAAGCAGCAGGCTCCCTGACGCCTGGCTCTTTCCCCAGCCCCCACGCCAGCAGGGTGCACCCACACCACCCACAGGACAGGATGCAAAAGAGGCCTCAGAGCCAAGGGGACTGAGCCAGGGACTCCCCGTCTGGGGCCCAGCGCCACTTTACCCCTGCCCTTGGTCAACCCCGTCGCCTGAACAGAGCTGCCGGGAGGTACAGGGCTCTGTCCAGCCTTCAGCAGACACTGCCCTGCCAGACCTCAGCCTCTGGCCCAGGCTCCGGATACTCAGAGCCCATCAGTGTCTCTCTGTGGGTTTGTGTCTCAGCTCAGTGACGCCTTGGATTTTCTGTGTCTCAGATGCCAGCTGCCCAGAGGACTGGTTCTGAACCTGGCCCCCCTCTCTCATCTAGCTGAGTTATTAGGGCACTAAAACCCAAGGGGTCCTTTGGGGGATGTGGCAGGGTCATAGGCCAGTGGAGAGGTGGCAGGTCAGATGGGTAAGGCCCAGCACCTTCAGAGTAACTGAAAGGCCACCCACAGCAGGGAAAGGCTCGACTGGGCGTCAGGAGACCTGAGTCTGAGCCTGGTGCTTGTTCCACGTGACATGAGCAGGGCCTTCACTGTCTGAGAGCTGTTTTCTTCATTTCCATATTGAAAGAGTGGGTCCTGATGTCCTCCAGTTTTCTTTGTCAGAGCTAAGTTTATCAGTCTCATCTACTCCTTATGCCCCAGCCCCTGCCAATCTGCCTGAAGATTGGGGTTGAAAAAAACTATCAGAGACCAGAACTGTCTACTTCTGCAGCTCCAGTTCCTACCTTAATGTGCCCAGGCGGCCCTGGGCCTCCTGACCCATAGGTCAGCTCCTTGCCCCTCTGTGGCTTAGCCTTCTCTGCAGAGGGCAGAGGGGCAGCTTCCACTGGGGCCTCCAAGGCTTTAAAGAAGTTCGACTCCAACCAAGAAGCACCCAGCACCCAGATTTTGAGTCCCCACTGGACCTTAGCCCAGGCCCAGACCCTTGGCCAGAGTATGTGCCTTGGGAGAACTCGGTGGCTCCCACAGAAAGCTCCGCATTTGGAAATGTCAAGGGTGTATGTCCATCTGCTGAGCAGGTGACCCTGGGCCCTGGGCATGGGGCAGATGGGCTGGAGGCAGAGCTTTGTGGGGGGATGTGTCTTCAGGGGTGAGAATCGGGTAGATGTAAGGACAGCCTGGGAAGAGTTGCCTCGTAGCCTCAGCCCTTGGGTCTCCCTCCGCCTGCTGTAAACCGAGCACAGCCACCCAGGCGACTTCCCCTGTGTGCCACCCTTCCCCTGCAGCCGGTTCCCAGGCCTGTCCCAGCATTGTGCAAGGCTCTGAGGAGAACCAGGAAGTGAAACTGGGCGCACACAGAAAACCGAATGGACCAGCTGCCTTCCCACGCCGTCATGGCAGAATGTGTGCCTCCTCTGGTCCCTGGAACCCACCCAGCCCAGGAACAGTCTCCCGCCTGAAGGAATTTTATCTCCAGCGGATTTGGGGGCCAAATTCCTCCTGAGACTCCACAGCCAGAAACTGAAGGCTGCAGCTCCCCAAAGGCTGGAAAATCCCTAAGAGAAGATCTAGGACGGGAAGAGGAATGACAAGATGTGGGAAAGTGGGAGAAGAGGGCTCAGTTAGAGCCACTTGTGACAGAAGGCTGCAAGTGTCTGTCTGAGTGCAATTTCAGAGTGGAAGTGACATTTTCCCTACCTGGAGATACTGCTTGTGGGAGCACTTAGCACGTGCTTAGCACAGAGTAGGTCCTCAATAAACCAAGATTGAATCCTAAGCATCAACCCATTCTTTCCAGTCTGATGCCTCCGCAGTGGCCGGTTGCAGAGGTCCAGGGGGAGCCAGAGGGGGGGCGGAAGGAGAGGGTCCCAGGATATCTGACCCCGTTTTGCCCTCGTCAAGTCGCCGTTCTGGCATGCTCCTGCTTAGACGCCCGCAGAGGCCCCAATCTCAGTTCTGACTGAATCAGTAGCAGCCTGATCGCGGCGCCCGCCACGTCGCCCTCTGCTGGCTGCCTGGCAACCCAGCGGTCGCCTCTCGCCCCCGCCCTGCGCGGGGACCTGAGGGCATTTCCCGGCAGGGGGCAGGGTGGAGACTTCCTACCCCCGCCCACGTGAGCCAGCGTGCGTGCGCTCTGCGGCCTTCTGTTAGCGGGGACGGTCCCCCTGAAAGCCACGCCTAGCAACGAACTCTCAGTCCTCACTCACAGGTAGCTTAGACTGCTCTCCTCAAGTCCCTCACTCTCAATTCCTTCCTGATATGCTCCCCCGCCCCCGCCTTGCCCAGAGCCGGTTCCCATCCGCAGAATGGGAAGCTCCCCGTCCCTGGGGACCCATCTTGGCATCTAGGGTTCCGAATGCACTTCACCTCCTCTTCTCCCACTCCACTCCTGAAGTCGGGGGCGGGGACATGGCCCCGGGGAAGCAGGTATTACAATAAAAGAGCTGGGAGGGGCTTTGTCCTTGGGGCTGACCTGGAAAGGTTGAGCCTTTCATTAGTCATCCTTTTAGAGATACACCGCGAAGGTACTCCATTTCCTACCAGGAAAAATTTTGCCTACTTCCAGCAGCCTCCAAGTCAGCCTCCTGACTGGAGCCTCCTGCTGGAAGTTCATGGATCCCTCACAATTCCAGTAGACGCGCCTCCTAGAGGAGCTTTGGAGAATCCGAGCATTCCTATCTTCCCAGGGGGCAGTCCCCTCCCCGCCCCGCCAGGCCTCCTGGCCCTCACCTCCTCACACGGGTGGGTGTCCGCTCTGTGGTTGACAGGGAGAAGGGCAGTAGGAAATTAGAATTGCATGAACCGTGGGCAGGTATAGGAAGGAAGGATTGTTTCATTGCTCTCCAGGTTAGAAGAGTCCTTGGGAAGCCTCCACCCAGAGCCTCTGAGAACCTCCCTGCCTCTGAAGGAATAAACCCCACTGCCATCTTTGTTTCTTTGCAGCTTTGCTCTGGTATCCTTGGGGCCCTGGGCTCCAGTTTCCTGACCTACACAAAAAGGGAGACCATACCGCGTTGGTGTGGCACAGGCCCCCCTGAGGGGTGACAGGAGCTATAATATGCCACAGTGGGAGTGAAGGTGGCCCCTGGAGCACGAGCCTTGGCACTGCAGGCTACCACTTCCCCAAGGCCTCGCGGTCCTCAGGCTCTTGGGTCATTCCCCTCTCCGCCTTTCCAGGCACCATCCTCCCTCAGCGCTGTCCCACACTAGCCTTTGAGGAGGGCGCTGTGTTTCCTCCATGTCCTCTTTGGCATAAAGATCAACAGCCGGAGAGATGGCGAAGTCCTCATGTGGAGAAGGCCTGGCGGGGTGAGGGGGGGGGTAGTGGGGGTGCGTGTCCCGAGACCAGTCTCCCAGGCCTGAGGCTGATGCTAGCTGTGCAGTCATCGCTCTGGGTGGGCGACTCTTGGAACGCGCTGCTTCCACCAGGGCCACATTCAGTTTGCTAGAAATAGAGACACAGGGCTTCTTGACTTTGCATATAATTTGCATAATGTCATAGACACAGTCTATTTTCAGGCAGTTTTCAGGTTAAAGTGTTGTCACTGCTGCCCTGCAGGGTGTCACGTCTGGATGAGTCTCTGTTCTTTCTCACCCACCCACTCTTACTGACCTACATCTCCAACTGCAGGAGCAAGTGGCGAGGTGGGGCAGGGGGAGTGGGGTTGTCCGGGGAGACACGGGGGCAGGACGAGAGACACACTAGATTTTCCTCTATTCCT